TGGACCAGTGTGTCCTCTGTGCTAATATAGGAATATATTAATAAAACAGTATTACCAAATAGAGCTTATCCTAAGAATACAAGGTGATTGAGCATTAGGAAATATATTCATGTATTACACTAACAGATTAAGGAGAAAAGCTTTATGCTTGGCATTACTGAATGCCAAAAGCATTCAATAAAATTAAAAATCCATTCCTGATCTTAACTCAGCTTCTTCAACTTTGAAATGATGAATGTTACAGTAAAAATATGGTACATTCTAAAAAAACAAAAACAAACAAAAAAGTAAAATGGTGAAGGTGAGAGGGTTGGAAACGGGGTTTGGATTATATGACCTCAAAGTTCCCTTCTAGCTCTAAAGATTTATGATTCTAATACTGTGTAGTGACCATCGGATAAGTTCTGCATAAAGGACATCTTGATGAGCCAAAATGTAAAAACTCTATATTATTTTTATCACTAGGTAATGCCCAACTAACCTTCACAAACCCTCCCTATTCTTTTCTCCCTCCCTGATCCTGGGTGTGGCTCATACAGGAATGAGGAAAGGGTGAGTTTGAGCCTCAGGAATATGCAGAAGATGTATGTTCAAAACTTCAAGGATCCTTTCTCAGACTGAAGACTACTTACTAAAAGGCAGATATCCTGAGGAAATGATTTTAAAGAAAAGCACTAACATTTACGGAGAGACCACCAGATACCAGGCTCCTCAAATGCACCACTTGTTGCTGAGTTGTTGATTATATCAATGAATGAGCACGTATAGAGTTTTACAGAGTAAAAGCTTGCAAAGGTGTCTACTACCCTTGGGCTATCTCCTTAATCAGAGCCAGGGCCGGAAGCTGAGGCGAAGCTCACTATTCCTGTTTCTTGGCCCTGGGCTATCAACCATTCAATAAGGCTCTACACTCAGGATGCATCTAAACAAAGGAGAAAGAGAAAGCAAGATCTCAAGAATGTTTTTCATGTGGACAGAACCTTCCTGGTAGTCATAACTATTGATTGTAACAATTTAGCAACATTGACCAATTTGGATGAGTGATGTTTGTTTTGAAATACTTACAGTAAGCTTTTTTGAGCAATTCAGGAAAATAATAGTTCATGTATAATACAACTACTCTAATCTACATACAGTGGTGGTTTCTTTTCCTTTCTTTTCTTTTTGTTTTTTTAAGCCTTACTGAAGTACTATATAATACATACACAGAAAAGGGAAATTATCTTCAGCGCACAGCTGGATGAATTTTCACGAAGTAAACACATGTAACCACATCCAGTTCAAGACATCAGGTCCTATACAATCACCGTGGCCAGCTTTCCTTAGGCATTCCTTAGACAAGCATTCAAATAGGTACCACTCAAAGACACCCTCTTTTCCCCATTGTTCTTTCTCTCTTCTCCCGTTTCCCAGCTTTTGTGACTTCTTTGCTAACTGCTTTCTCCTTCCCTTTCCCCTCTTTCCTCTCTCTGACAGTCTCTGTAGATACACAGATATGAAGCTTCACAAATTTTATTCACTGCCATTCTGTAAAAATAATAAATTCTTTCCTTTACAGAATGCTTATGCTTAACTAAGAGCATATGAGAGAATTAATTCATCATTTTTCAAGCAATTCCTTGAACTTTCAAGCAATTCCTCAACTTGACTTTTGGTCTTTAGTTATCCAAGTATTAGATCATGCTTTTAAATCTAATCTGTTAGCAATTTATGGACAAAAATTTTCCCTAAAAATTATTCTTAGTGGAATGAGTAAACAGTAAACTTTCAGAGTGTTTTATCTGGGAAAAGAAGTGTCAGAATTTGCTACTCCAAAGCCCCTCTGAGAGTTATTCCTTATTCTAGGATTTTAAAAGCTGTCGTTTTTCATTTTTACTCCCATATTTCCTACTTTGACTTCTCTCCAGATTGTAGAAGTCCTGTACTAGATATTAATGTAATAGGGCAGCTTGGCCACATTAAATGTGACAAAGAAGAGCAGTGGAGAGATTATCAGCCCCATTCACACAGCAGGTTAATGGCACTGCCTTAATGGGTGTGTTTCGGTATGTACGTTTCCTGTGCTCCAGCCTTTTTTTTTTTTTTCTGAAAAGACAATCAAATCTAACAAGACAGTTTATAAGATTTTTTTTAAAAAGCACAATCCCACCATCCTAACGTTAATTTCGAGTTTTATATGTCTCCTCCTGCATGCATAAGGATTTTTACCTAGTTACAATTACAGCCCTTAACAACAGGGATAAGTTCTGAGAAATGCATCCTCATGCGATTTCATGATTGTGTGAACATCATAGAGTGTCCTTGCACAAACCTGGATGATACAGCCTCCTACACACCTAGGCTCTACGGTATAGCCTATTGCTTCTAGGCTACAAACCTACCTGTGTAATATGTTACTATATTCAATACTGTAGGTAACTGCAACACAATGGTATTTATGTATTTAAACATAGAAAAGACACAGTCAAAACACCATATAAAAGATAAAAAACGGTACACCTCTATAGGTCCTTTACCATGAATGGAGCTTGCGGGATCGGAAGTTGCTCTGGGTAAGTCAGTGGTGAGTGAATGTGAAAGCCTAGGACATTACAGCACACTTAGGCTAGAGTAAATTTATTTTTAAAAATTTCTTTCTTCAATAATAAATTAACCTTAGCTTACTGTAACTTTTTTACTTTATAAACTTTTAAAGTTTTTTAACTTTTTGACTCTTGTACTAGCACAGCTTAAAACACAAACACATTGTACAGCTATACAAACATACTATATTTTCTTTCTTTGTATCCTTATTCTATAAGCTTTTCTCTATTTAAAAAAAAATTTTTTTTTACTTTTTAAACTTTTTTGTTAAAAACTAAGACACAAACACACACACTAGCCTAGACCTACACAGTGTCAAAATCATCAACATGTCACAAGGCAACAGGAATTTTTCAGCTCCATTACAATTTTATGGGACCATTGTAGAATATGCAGTCGGACTTGGCATAAATGTCATTATGTATCACATGACTGTATGACTAGGGACACATTGCTCTTTCACTCCCAGCTGTCTGCAAACAAGAAACTTTGCTGTTGTGGCTGCAGGAAGGTAGCCAAATGTTTCTCTAATATTTTATGCAAGCTAGTCCTCATGCCCACTGTATTTAACAGGTCTCCAATATTCATCAATAAAATATGGTCAAACCTTTAGGAGTTCACCATCTAGTAAGAGAGACAGGCATCAGAATACACTGTAGTTCTTCCAAATGGCCATTGCCAATTCCTTCACCTTTTCTTTCAATCCGTTCCAAGCAGGGAGGACAGGACAGACAATGTGAATCGGCCCAAAGTCACTGGCCTCTGCAAATCCCAGCAATCCCTTCCCTCCGGTCCCTCGGGGTAACTAGAAGGACTTCAAGGTTCTCTCCAAATCCCACAGCTGCGCGAAAACATCTTTTTCTGGTATCAGAAATTTTACCACTAATCTTACCACAAGTCCTTGTTCAGTGGAGAACTGGGTAACTATGACTAACATGTACACACACACACAACACATCACCATGATGAAAACTCAAATCACAGCATGTGAGTCACTACTCAACACTGCCATGCACCTTCCACAAGCCTGCCAACCCCATCCAGAGGATTTTCCCCAGATCTGAACTCAAACCATTTGTACTTACCCCCAACATTTACCCTAAAGTTTATCATAATTGCATGTAAATCCACCTTCCTGATAAGAGGAGGGACTGTATCTCTCATTGTATGACCAGGCCTGGGTAGTAGGCAAAGTAAAAGTTATTGCATGAACCATTACCATCATCCAAATAGCAGCTACCATTTCCAGAGCACCTACCATGTGCTCAGTAGTTTATCTACATTACCCTGGAGGCTTTCTCAGACTAGACCACCCAATCCAAAAGATCCCTCCAGCTACCCTCTAGCACTGCGGTCCCTAACCTCTGTCAGCAGCCTATGAGGGACTGGGCCGCAGAGCTCCGACACACCACCCCCCTCCAATCCATGGAAAAATTATCTTCCATGAAACCGGTCCCTTGTGCCAAAAAGGCTAGGGACCGCTGCTCTAGCACATAAACTTATTTTAGTTCTCTGAATAGGACTTAATGCTCTTTAATATATTCTTGTTTAATTATGTGCTTGCTGCCATTTGTGGCTCCTCACTAGAAGGAAAGCTCCAAGAGAACAGGCATCTTATCTCGTGCTTGGCACTGAGAAAAGCAATAAAGGAATCTAAACCTCCCACCTCCCTGGGTGACAGAGTCGACTTGCACACACACTGGGTCTAAACAAGTATGTTTTAAAATTTGTATTCAGAATTCAGGATAACTGTGTTGAATATTTTATGGTTCATAACAAACTGGGGGTAGGGAGCAGAATAAAAATTAAAGTTTGGTTACATTACCCTAGCACTGACATTGGTACGGGAATTTTTGCTGCAATAAGAAAGCCACTTCCTCTGACATAAGTTCACCCACGCTACTGGGTCTTGCCACATCCTCATCATGGCTAGACTGGCTAGAGCGGCCAGGTCTCCAGACGCTCACACTAAAACAAGGGTGGCTGTCGAAAGGGCGCCCCTCAGCCGGGAGCTGGCCGAGAGTAAGAGTTACTGCATGACCCATCGGCGCGTTCCCGAGGGTCTGCGCGGATTCGCGCGGCGCGCATCGCAGCCTGGCGGGCCTGGCGACTCTCCACCTTGGGGCTCTCCTTCTTACCAGGGTTCCGCTTCCTCTCACCCCTAAAGCCCACGCGCCCTGCAAGATCAACCTTGCGCACCCCCAAGCCTCCAGGGGGCGACGTATTGAGCGCCGCGTCACGTGCGGAGAGACGGGCGTTTGGGCCCGAGAATCCTAACAGGTCCGAGGCCTGGCGGTGCACTGGACCGCGGTCGCGGGTGTTCAGCTCGCGCCCCGCCCCTGGCTCTGCCCCGCCCCTCGCCTCCGCCAGCGCCGGCCGTGGCCCCGCCTCCTGGGCCCCGCCCCTCTGCCAGGCCCCGCCCCCTCACCTCCACTTATTCCTACGCACGCGGGTTCCGCACCTCCGTCGGCCGAACGCGACTGGTTGCTGTCGCAACTGCGGCTCCTCATCCTCCCGCGTCACCGCCGCCGCCATGCCGGGAGGTCTGCTTCTCGGGGACAAGGCTCCCAACTTCGAGGCCAATACCACCGTCGGCCGCATTCGCTTCCACGACTATCTGGGAGACTCGTAAGTGGCCACCGCGTAGCCCTGCCCTAGCCCCGCTTACGCCCGGACTCGGAGGTGCCTTCCCTATTTCTTCTCCCTTCCGTCCTCCCCACCGCGCAGCCCGCTGAGTGCCGCCTGCCTCCTCCGGCTCCGGTCCCCGCTCGTGCCTCTCGCCGTGTGGCTCCGGCCCCGCGTCTACCGAGCGCCGCTGGGGACCGGCAGCTCTTCGGCCCGCCCTGCGCAAGTCACTCGATCTCTTGTCTCTCTGCCCTTGGCGTGGCCGTGCTGGCTGGGGGAGTGCGGGGGACAAAATTGGGTTCCGCAGGCCCTGGGAACTCGAGGCCCGTGCGGAGGAGGGTTTGTTGTCTGTTTAACTTGACTTACTAAGCTGTGCAAGTGTAGCGTGGTCAGGCGAGGGCGCACAGGCGGGGTGGCATTTGCGGTCACTTCCCAGGACTCGTGCCCAGGGTCGCACCGCCCTCCCTCCGTCCGTTCTGGAGTTTGCTCCCTAGGGCAGGAGTGACTAAGGCCGAAGTCAGAGGGCTCTGCTGCCGGCTGCAAGTTAGAGGAGGCCCGAAGTGTTATCTGAAGGGGCTGCTGGCTGCAGTGGTATTTGCAGGCTTCTTGGTTCAAAATGTAAACTTTAAAACCACCAGCTGCCAAGTAAGTAGCCAAAAGACTTTTTGTCCAGAGCTTCCTCCAGTGGCCAAGATAGGATGTGATAACGACTTTGGGAGGAACCAGGAACACTGTGTGTAGGCGCGTCTTTCATTCCAGAACTCGTAACACTGAGGAAGGGCTTTCTGAGGTTGTTAAGCTGCGGTGACCTACCTATTCTTGCCAGTGTGGGTCGTTCCAGGCTCCAGGATGTGCACTCCCCCACTCTGAGACCTTTCTGTTTTCCAGTGGTGTGCCCCTCACTGCCCCCTCCCCTTTCTGCCTTGCTGCCAGCACGTGGCCTTGCTGGTGAGAGCCAAATTGATAACCCCTGGTTTGGCCTCACAATCATGCTGTTACAACTAGGAGTAAATTGATGCCCCCTTTTTTTTTTTTTTTTACAAGTCCTGAATCAGCAAACTGTTAAGTTGCTTAGTTTTCCTTAGAAACATTACAGGCATGTCTAGTTATATTGTGGTTCTGGAGTTCCAGTGGCCCCACTACACTGTTGTGCTCCCAGGCTTGACAATTCCTGACACCTCCTCCTTGGTTACAATATACAGGGGAAGGTATATATAGGCAGAGAGAGAAAAGCTTATGAAATTAATGAATGATTGGACAGGGCTATGCAGAGAACCCAAGAGAGATTCTTAGATATCAAGCCTATTCCCTTACAACCCCTTAGGGCCATTTTCCAGCCACTGATTAGGGAAAAATTAAGCTTTGTAAAAGAGAGAACGTTAGCAAAAAGTGAGAAATGGAACATTCAGACTTTGAAGGCACAAAAAGACTTTAGGAGTACAGATTACGGCCAGCCTCATACTGAGAATCTAGGTATTAATATTTCTCTAAAACTCCATGGGATTTTCAGAGTGTATTACCTCCCTTTTCTATATACCTCACCCCCACGAAACATAAACTCTTACCAGAACTCTTAGCTTGTGTGGATTAAATACTAACATAAAGTATATTTACTGTAGCAACAATTATAAATGCTGTCAGTATTTAAGCTATTAATACCATACTTTTGTTGTTGTTTATTGGCCTCTGGATCTATCTAGATTTGATTAGAAGTGGTACATTCTCAGGGAGCTGCAGGTAGGAAGATGAGAAAAATATCTGCATTTATAAAACAAGTCTGCCTAGGGTTAGGTGTAATATTCCTTGCCCTACCCGGAAAAGAAATTTGAGCACTTGATATCATTATAATACGTGGATTTTTGCCTGATTTTTCCAAACTCCATATGATCTCAAGTCAGACTGTCAATTTTTTGGGGGGAGGGGGAGGAGAGCCCAAGAATTTACACTTTATTATTATTTTTTTAATTCAAGATATTATGGGGGTACAAACATTTTGGTTACATGTAATGTGTTTACCTCACCCAAGCAAGACTACAAGCGTGCCCTTCCCCCATACAGTGAGCTCCGCTTCCATTAGTTATGGGATTACCACCACCTGACCGGCACCCAATGAGTATTACTACCATGTGAGCACCTTAGCGTTGATCAGTTAGTACCAATTTGATGGCGAGTACATGTGGTGCATGTTTTTCCATCCTTGTGATACCTCACTTAAAAGGATAGCCTCAAGCTCTATCCAGGATAATATAAGAGGTGCTAGTTCACCATTGTTTTTTGTAGTTGGGTAGTATTCCATGGTATACATATACTACATTTTATTAATCCACTTATATATTAATGGGCACTTGGGTTGTTTCCACATCTTTGCAATTGTGAATTGTGCTGCTGTAAACATTCAAGTGCAGATGTCTTTATTGTCATCTAATCGCCAACAAAGCAGACAAAATTATACATTGGGGAAAAGAATCTCTATTCAATAAGTGGCGCTGGGAAAACTGGATATCCACATGCAGAAGACTGAAAGTGGATCCCCACTTCTCACCTCTCACAAGGATCAACTCACGACTACGGATAACGGACTTAAACCTAAGGCATGAAACCTTAAGAATTCTGGAAGAAAATGTTGGGAAGACTCTTTTAGTCATCAGCCTAGGCAAAGAATTATGAAGAAGACCCCCAAAGCAATCACAGCAGCAACAAAAATAAACAAATGGGACCTGATCAAATTAAAAAGCTTCTGCATAGCCAGGGAAACTATCATTAGAGCCAATAGACAACCTACAGAATGGGAGAAAATATTTGCTTTCTACACATCCAATAAAGGACTGATAACAAGAATCTATATAGAACTTAAGAAAATCAACAAGAAAAAATGAAACAACCCCATCAATAAATGGGCAATTTTTGATCCAGGCATTTTTTTGGAGAAAAAAATAAAATAATTTTAAACATTACAGTTATCTACCCTACCCCTGACAATTGGAAACAACTAAAGGGGTTTGGGTACTGTTTTAGGTGGCTTTGTTGAGCCTCATCACTGCTTCTGTGTGTGGTAGAAGCAGCTTTCTCATAGTACATTGTCACTAAATGAAACGCATTTTTCAGGGGTTTTCTGGGGCTTAATAAGTGCAGACCATTCTCTTAAAGGAGGAAACCTTTTGTCTTTTGAAAATGAGAAAGGAAGAAAGTGGGAGAAAGAATTGAATTACTCTTATGAACAGCAGTAGGAAGACTTAGAGGGGAAGGAAGGCCAAGGTAAGACATTCTTGGAGTTTATCCTATTCCTAGCCCTGTGTAAACTGGAGTGTGGCTTCTGAAGGAGGGAAGGATGTAAACTGGCTTAAAACCAGTTCCTTAGCATGATTCAGCAAAACAGTCTCTGTTGACTCACAGTGGAAAAAGAACTAACTTTTCTAATTCATTACCCCTTTAACAATACAAGGAGAAATGCCCTGTCCCATTTCTTCTCAACTTCTGAAGACCTTCTCCTAAGTCTCATCTGACCATTAAATGGGTCCTTATCCATAGAATAGAAAGCCTAGATTTTTACTCATGTTACTTATTTCAAAAAATATACTGTACGTCCCTGTTATTTGCCTTGACGAGACAGTAAACATACTGCACACCTCCACAATCTTAAAAAATGTTATGTGTTTCCTCCCAGTCTGGCCATAGGGCCCAGCATCCTTTTCGGAAGAAGGTCTTTTTCTTGCCTGAAACCTTGGGAGTTGAGTGGCAAACGTGGGTGGGAAGGAAGTGCCCTTGTCTTTGCTTTGTTCTTTGCTCAGGGAAACTTGCCAGACTTTAGAGAGGTCACCTTAGTATCTGGGCTAGATTTGGTTATCTACTAGTTTAGAATCCTGCCTAAATCATCTAGTTTAGGATGATCTAAGTCAATGGGAACGTGGAGAACTGAGTGTTAAATTTTCCTTTTCAGTTGAAAAAGTAGTTTCTGTCACCAAGGAGAAGGAAATGGTACCCCAAATTTCTTGGTGACTCAGCTTGAAACGTGCTCAAAATCTATACAAGTTTAACCTTAGACAGTGATGATTTAGATATTAGTATTTTCCTAAGAATCTGTAGTTGTAGAAACCTACCTTGTACGTTGTCAGTTTTCTACCTGCTTAGTCTGAAGCATGAAGGAAAAGAAACTGCAAATGAAAAGATAGGTTAAACTGTTAAGGTGCTGTTGTTTTGTCAGGATACAAGTGTCAGGTGTCTTGTTTGGCAGGTTAGATCAGTAGAGTAGTTTTATAAAAGATTTTATGTCCACTTGCTTCAAAGAAGCCAAGTGTCAACTGTGATTTTACATATAAATAGAGGATAGAAACCTGTTTATTTCAGATTACATAATCTGTTTATTATTGCAATCAGGCATTTGTTTGGATTCAGGGCATATTGGGACATCCATTCATTGTTGGAGCTGAATGTCAGGGTCTATGCTAGAAATACATGTAGAAAAGAATAAGAAGAAATAAAAAGTTATTTCAGCTTGGCTTAAGTAGCACAGATTTAATTAGCTGAAAAGGAGTCAAGGTGGCTCCATAGTTATTAAAGGAGGCAACACCCTAAAATTAGTCTTTTTAAATATTTACCATCTTGAATTTCCCATCTTTGATTGAATTGGACTATTTACTTTTTCTGGAAGTAAAAAGGTTGAAAAGAATTTTTCAACAGAAAAGGTTAAGAGTAAATGTCGTCATAAGCATCCATTTAAAAAAGCAAGCCTGGTTTTGGTCCAGAAATTGTGGCTTTTCGTTCTACATGATGTTGATAATGACTTTATTCATTTATGACCTCCTTTTTCTTCCTTCCAGCTGGGGCATTCTCTTCTCCCACCCTCGGGACTTTACCCCTGTGTGCACCACGGAGCTTGGCAGAGCTGCAAAGCTGGCACCAGAATTCGCCAAGAGGAATGTTAAGCTGATTGCCCTTTCAATAGACAGCGTAGAGGACCATCTTGCCTGGAGCAAGGTATAGTATACGAATGGGCACGTGCTTTGAGCCTGAGGTTATAGATCAGGTTAAAAATGACAGAGAGTAGCTTGGTTTTTGAGGTAGAAGTACAAGTAAGCCTCAGGTTCAGAGTTCACTGGTTATTTGAAAATTTGGCTTGGACTACACAGTGAAAGCGGTCAGTTCCCAGTCCTCATCTTGCCCCACCGGCAGCATTCAGCCCAGCTGATCACTCCATCTCCTGAAACACTTTCCTTTCTTGGCTTCCGGGACACCACGTTCTAGCTGTTCCTGCTCAGGCTTAGACTGATTGTTCATCATCTCCCAACTCCTAATTTATGCTGAAGTTGCCCTGAATTCGTTTCTTGGACCTCTTCTCTTTCTTTCCCTTGGTGAGTTCATCCACTCACGTCTTTAAATGCCACCTGTATGCCATGATTCTCAAATTTCCATCTCTAGACTAGACCCTCCTGGCTTCCAGGTTGTTCTATCCACTGCCTGCTTGGCTTCTCCCCTAGAAGAGCCAGTTATCTCAAACCTAGCATGTCTGAAACTGGGCCCCATTCTTAAAGCCAGGGTTTTACTCATCTCAGCTAATGGCATCTACATTTTTGTAGTTGCTCAGGCCCCAAATCTAGGAGCCATTCTTAATTCCTCTTGTTTTTTCACATCACATGTCTGATTTATCCTCAAACTTGTCAGCTCTACCTTCAAAATTTATCCAGAATCGTATTTGGAAAAAGCACTCCCCAGATATTTCTCTGGCTTCCCCTCACCTCTTCTGGGTCTCAAGTCGAATGGCACCTCATTAAAGCCCTTCTTGTCCTCTTTATCTAAAATTATACCTCCTTTCCACACTCACTTCCCCTTCAGCTGAGCACTTGTCACCGTCTAAAATACTCTGCATATTATTTTGTTTGTTTCTCTCCAGTAGAGCATAGGCTCAGCAGGGGCAGAGACTCCTGTTTGTGCGCTTCTAGAACACGACTCAGTATATCGTAGGGGGCCAGTCAATATTTGTTGCATGAAGGAATTGTCTACTTTCAGAAAAACGGTTTACTTGGACAATAAATTTGGTGGTCTAAACTAACCTTGAAAACATTTTAAAGACTCTGCTGGAGTGTGCTACTGAGTAATAGTGATAACTGCATTCTAAGGGACACTCACTGTGTCCTAGGCACTATGTGAAGCCCGTGCAACTGAATGAAAGATGTACTGTTTGTGAGGTGGTGACCTAGGGCTGCACCCCATGGCCATTTATTAATAATACCAGTTAGTCCTAAGTGTCTGAGACTAAAAGAGTCACGTGTAGGAGGAAAAAAAGGGCAATTATCTTTCTTGAGGTGAGTTTTTTTTTTCATTGCTCACACTTACCAGTGAATGGTAACTGACATTTCTGCAACACTCTCATGGGCAGTTTCTCATTAGGTTTTAGCAGAGCCCTGTAAGGTAGGTATATGGTTTTTGCTCTCAATTTCCAGTTGCTCATTTTTGTAGTTGAGAATACTTTTTTCACTCAGAGAGTTGGAGGGACTTGCTCAAATTTGCCCAGCTAGAAAATGGTGGCAATGTGATTTGAACCTCAAACCGAAGTTCTTTTTGACACTAGATGACAGTAGGATTTAACCTGATTGAAGGTAAAGCCAAAGCATGTGGTTCTTTGGTGTTCATGGGTATAAGGCAATGCCTGTAATGCAAGAGGCAGGGTAGAGAATTACCGCATGGCAATAATTAAAATGACAAAGTGCCGAAGGAAGAGTTTATAGCCCGTTATATAACACCTTTTAAAGTATGGAAGCATACCCAGGTTCATTTTAGCTGGTGAACTTCTGCCTTAGAGCTTTTCAGAACTGTGATTGCATTAAATATTAACCAACTATCAGAAGCAGTGCCCAAACTACATACAACTGGTTACACAGGAAACCTGAAGCACAAAATCATCTTGATTATTATTTAGTTGTGATCACTTGATAGGCAGCCAGTGACAACAGGAGGAAAGGTAAGATAATAAAATTAGGGAACATGTTAGAATTTGTTGTTACCCGGTTCAAGTTCGTTAATGCCACGTTAACAAATTTACCTGTCACAGATCTGTTGAGAAATCCACAAAGGTTTTGTATCTGAAAAGCCCCAGTTTTACTTTCAAGGGTCCACATAATAAATAGACCGACCTTATTCCAACTTTATTTTTTTTTGTTTATTTTTTTAGAGACAGGTTCTTGCTGTCGCCTCGGCTGGAGCGCAGTGGTGCCATTATAGCTCACTGCAACCTCTAACTCCTGGACCCGAGTGATCCTCCCACCTTAGCCTCCTGAGTAGCTGGGACTATAGGGGTGCACCACTGCGCCCGACTAATTTTTTAAAAAACTTTTTTTGTAGAGACAAAGTCCTGCTATGTTGCTTAGGCTGGTCTTAAACTCCTGGCCTCATGTGATCCTCACATCTCAGCCTCCCAAAACACTGGGATGACACGCGTGAGCCACCACAGCCAGCCTGTTATTTAAACTTTAAATCTTCTTTTCCATTATTTCCTAAACTCTGCCCAGCTGAGTTCCTCACTTCTATCAATAATTCATGCACAGGCTTGCCTACAGGTCTCATTAATGTTTCTCCTCCCTAGAATGCCTTCCTTTTCCCTGGAAAACCCTTACCCATCTTCAATGGCCCAGGTAGAAGTCCTACCCCTTTCCTGAAGCAATGGGGATGTTCGTATACTTGAGCATTTACAATCTGCCAGTGAAACATTACAGTCTTGTTTTTGCTGCTATTTGATAATAGGAATTATCTAACCAAGTCAGAAGTTCCTTTAAGGGCAGGAGGCATGTCTTACTCATTTGTCATCCACGTGCTTAGTCCACATTCAGTGCTAAATCAATGCTTGATCAAGTAATGAAACTGGGTTTTTCCCCAAAAGCTTTCAGGGACAGGAAAAGTGGAAATGAACGAATGAATACAATTTTACTAGCAGAGGAGGGAACTACACCATTTTCCTTTAGTTCAGACTCAAAATCCTTTGTTTTCTATTTGAATTTCACCCTGGTATAAGTTTCCTTCTGCCATTTTACCCATTTACCTTAGCCTTGTCCTCAAAGTATATTTTTAACTCTCCATTCTTGGGTATTTGTTTTAAGTTTTGGGATTTTTTTTTTTTTTTCCATTTCTCAGTCTCTGTCTTGTAACTTAATGTTTAAGTCAGGGTGCTTTTGAGGCAGAGACCAGATCTATAGAATTTTCTTTGCATCTATCATTTCTAAATGCGAGAGACTTAATGAACCCATTGTTTCTGATGGTTTTTACAGTATTTGAGTATACAGAGGTACCCTGTATTAGGATCTAACTGTATTCAACTTTTAAAGTGTTTACTGCTGCTTTCTCAAAGCAGTAAAAACATGCTAAATTTAAGAGAATTGGGCATGAAAAAGGCTTTTGTCCATGGTTATAAACTAAGTACTGCACCCTACCATTATTCCTGTTAATAATTATGATAAGGGGTGTTCATTTATTCATTTTCTTGTTAAAATTGCTTAGAGAAAATTATTACGATTATGGTCGTCTTCCCTGTCTTGCAAGGAGATGGCTAACTGATGACACTCAGAGGATGTGTTGGGTTTAGATGTCTCTGTCCTCTTTGACCTGCGTTTCAGGATATCAATGCTTACAATGGTGATGAGCCCACAGAAAAGTTACCTTTTCCCATCATCGACGACAAGGATCGGGACCTTGCTATCCTGCTGGGCATGCTGGACCCTGCAGAGAAGGATGAAAAGGGCATGCCTGTGACAGCCCGCGTGGTAAGCTGTAGAAACCCACTTCGCAGTCAGCATGACTGATCAGGCCGTATGTCCAAATGCTCGGACCAGCTAGAGGAAATAGGGGAATATCTACGATTATGAAATAACTGTGTATTGGTGACAGTATCATGGATTATCTGTAATACTGATTGATACAAAGTAGCTGAAATTTCCAGCTAAATTTTTAAACTGCTCAATTCATAGTTCTTGGAAATCTACAAAAAAATAAGTAATACATCCTCAGATGTCATCTAGAATCAGGAAACCTTTTCTATAGGCTGTCTGCTGAGAGCCCTCTCTTTCTAGTGATGGGCCATATCCTTCTCCATTAAGTCAGCTCTGTTTTTAAATACTCATTTGCTCTGTTCTCCACCCACTGGAGAACAAGCCCAGTCCCTCATCTGCATAAATGTACAACTCTTCAAGGACGGGTTTCAACTTCCATTAGTATTATTTTTATGCTAATCACCCCCAGTTGACATAGTACCTTCCTGGGGCCTTTCCTGTATTAAATTTGCATATCAGTTTTTCTTACCGGGACAGCCAGAACCAAAGGTGATTCCCTTCTAATTTTAGAAAAATAACCTGGAGAAGAAAATGATCTACATTCCATCCACCCAGTTTGGTGTATCCTTCTAGATGCTTTGTTTTTGTTTAGTTTTTACACTCTTGAACATTTTTAATGATTGCAGAACTTTCTAAGTGGCTTTAATACCAAAAGCACTCAAAGAACTCTTCCTGTTTATGCCTTTTTATGCTTTGCAGGTGTTTATTTTTGGTCCTGATAAGACACTGAAGCTGTCTATCCTCTACCCAGCTACCACTGGCAGGAACTTCGATGAGATTCTCAGAGTAGTTATCTCTCTCCAGCTGACAGCGGAAAAGAGGGTTGCCACACCAGTTGATTGGAAGGTAAAGATGTTAAAAAAGCAGATATTGAACTTGCGTGGAAGGCCTGAAGGGCCAGTCTCTAAATAGCTACCTTCAGGCCCTGTGTCACCTAGGGCTGTTTCTGGCAAACTGGGAGGATTTTTCCTCATGGCTAAGTTTAAGATTTGTTGAGAGGCCCTTTTCCAGGTCTTTAACACCTTTTATATAAGACACAAACCCCCTATATTGCTTTCTAACTTTCAGAAAATTTGGACAAATTAATTGGTCAGAATGATTCCTTTTTCTAATACAGGTTTAAAAAAAAAAACTTATCTAACCCTTCCCTAATGGTAAAATATTTATCACAAAATCTTGATTGACCATTTTTCTTCAATCACAGCTTTAAAACTATTGGTGTGTTAATGTCATGAAGTATTTCATTTCTCTTATGTTTCAGTCTTTTAAACCTATGTAAAATTCTTTGAAACCTGTTCATAAACTTAATCTCTAGGATTTCTGCAAATATGTAGGACACGGATAATACCACAAGAGCATATTAACATTGCTACATTTTTAAAATATGCTAACCTGAATACCAGGTTTTGTTGTTTTGTTTTGTTGTTTTTTTCTGACAGACAAATCATTTAAATTCTGTATCCATTAATTAAACATACATTGATTGAGCCCAGGCAGTGGGCACCGGGCAAGAGGTAAACAATATAAAGTCCCTGTTGTCATAGAACTTACATTCCAGTGGGGAGGGACAAACAGTAAACAAGTTTATGTAGTCTGTCAAGTGGTAACAACAGGTGCTACAAAGAATAGTCAGGCAGAGGTGGGGAGAATAGCAGCACAGGGGTGGGAGAGTTAGTTTTGTATTTGGTTGCCCAGGAATGCCTTTCTCTGACGGGGCCCTGGGGAGGACGTGAAGAAAGTCACGCCTGTCTGTGCGGAAAGAGCACTGCAGGCAGGAGGAGCCCTTCGTGCAAGGAGCTTGATCTGCAAGGAGTTTGGCATGTTGGATGGATGGAAGGAAAGCCAAAGCCGGATGCAGTGGCTCACACCTATAATCCTAGCACTTTGGGAGGCCAGGAGGTCGAGACCAATCTGAGCAAAAGCGAGACCCTGTGTCTAAAAATATAGAAAAATTAGCTGGGCATGATGGCGCGCGCCTGTCAAAAAAAGAAAAAGCAAGCGAGCGAGCGTGGAAAAGAGCCTCAGGAGGGAGGGGTGGGAGTGGGGGGTTCATCGCACAGGGCCCGAGGCCACGATACGCCCTGGGAGTTGAAAGGTAGAGTGTGTGGCAAGCCATGCTGGGTTTACAGCAGCACTATTTCTTGTTAAGATGGTGAAATGCTTACCTCTCAAAAGTGTCAAAGATCAACTTGTGAAACCAAATTCTTAAGGGGGCAGAGAGGAAAGGATATTTGATTAGTCTCATTAGGACCTGTAGGTACTTTTCTAAGTTAATTCTTGAAGACCTTCAAGCTCCCCTGTAAGACTGAATCTCGCCGCTCTCCACGTCTTTCAACAGGAAGGAGGTAGCGTGATGGTCCTTCCAACCATTCCCGAAGAGGAAGCCAAAAAACTTTTCCCTAAAGGAGTCTTCACGAAAGAACTCCCGTCTGGCAAGAAGTACCTCCGCTACACACCCCAGCCTTAAGTCTCTCCGAGACGTTGGTGCCAGAGCTGCTCGCGTAGCGCGGTGAGCCAGCGGATGTCGGCTGCCAATCATGTTTTCTTGCAGCAGCTCCCTAAAAACATCCTGGTGTGATCGTAGCCAAGGTCTTTAGGTTGCTATACTACTGGCTTATTAAATGAAAATGGCACTAAAAGTTTCTTCGGATTCTTTACTCTCTGCCATCACCAGCACTCTGTTCTGTTCATATGTCAGCACTCTGCTGGCTGTCTCTGAAATATGTTCTACATCTGAGACTCACATCATGTTGGATCTCCACGGGCTTTGTGATCAGTGAGGCAGTATGGGTTGATGGTTAAGAAAGCTTGCTTCGCACCATAATAGAATGGCTATCAATTCTTTCAGCTGTTCTGATCGAATCCTCTCTTCTGTTACCCATTTTGGAAGCAATAGAATTTGAGGCTCAACTTCCTCTGTAAATATCCAAGTATATAACCCAGGAACTTAAAGTAACCCAGATGTTCTTTAACATTCGTTGTTTTGATCACAGTCCTTTTCAATTCTGTAATTCTAGTAGATATCTCAAGTGGGAAGAGCAAGGGGAGGGACCTTCAAATATTTTGCTATAAAAAAATTTGCAGTAAACTTCTATCAAAAGGGGGAGACTGCAGAAAAGGCTCCCCTTGCCTGCCAGGGAGGTGTCCCGGAAGTGTGAGCAATCTGACAAGTGCCTTTCACAGTGTCGCCACGTGTCGGGCTGCTCCTGGTGATGTGTACATCAAAGGGCACACCTCGTGCAGGGAGGAGAAGGTGGTCAAAAACGTTTTCTTATAGAACTGTTCTTGTAGTGGGTTGCTATTTTCTGGATTTTGCTTTTTAGGGATCGACAAATAAAATCTTTGTTAAAAGTGGATCCGAGAATTCTGTTGTAGCATTTTGCAGTACCAGTTTAGACTCATGTCCTGAAGGGCAGAGGCTTCCTTCTTGCTAGGATGGTCATGAGTACTTTTCTCTAAACAGATACTATAAGATTTCCTATAATGAAAATGCAAGAGCAGCTGAAGAACACGTGATGTGCCCATCTACCTTGGCCCACTTTGCTCCTTTACATTATAAGCCTGGATCCTAGAATCCTTCCTATGATTTTGCGAGCCCCAATGTGCTTTCTTTAGTCCTTGTCTCTCATGGAGAGTCTGGCTTCAGCGTTTTAATGGTGACAGTTCAAAGTTTAAATCTCCAACGTTACTTACTCAAACTTTGAGTCTTGTGTTTATAGACCAATGGAACATCTACTATTGAATCTGCAAATTCAAAATGGAATTCATCAATTTTTTTCCCCCAACCTCAATAAATCCATCGCCCCTCGCACCACTCATTCAGCCTTGGCATTTTGTTTGGCTGTGTCTACTCTACCTGCATAGATGATGTCAGTGTAAAACTACCGAAAGAGCTTAAGGAAAAGGGGTCACAACCTCAAATTGAATTCTGGTCTGTCACTAAGCAGCCATGAAGCTGTGAGAACCTTGTGTGAGTATTCTTTTCCAAATATAAGATATTATGTAACGAATATGCGCTTCCAGGATAGAAGTGATCCTAAGTACGTGTTTAAATACAGTCACGTGTTGCTTAATGAAGAGGATATGATTTCCTTCTATTCTTACCTCTATTGTGGTTTTCCCTAAAGTATCATTTATTCTTTCAAAGTCTTGTTGAGATGAAAAGGAATAATGGATTCCAAATAATAAACAGCCATAAAAGTCAACTTTATTTGACTTTTAAAAATGAAATGAAAACTGACATCAAACAGTGCTATGCAATATGTTAATTTCTCCTAAACTTTGCTTTCAGTAACTAAGATTTATGGAATATAGTTCCATTTTTCAGTATTTACTACATTGGAGAGGGGAGAATAACTATACTCTAGAAAATATCAGGGAGAAGCACTAATTATAGCAGTTTCACAAACAAAAATTATAGGCTTTATGCTTTAGATGGGAATATATTAGTTGTACAACACTTTTGATAATGTATTCTACTATAATTTGCTCTCCCTGGAAAAGGGTTTCATTTGGTAGGCTATAAGTTTTAGGATATCTTACATTATCCTGAAAAATTTTTTAACATCTCAAGTATAATGCAACTACTTAAAATGAAATGTTTTTACAGCAGTCCATCAATTGCTTATAAAATAAATGCAGCAGTAAATTGCTTCTTCTTTCAGCAGCTTCTAAATAAACTCCTTGCCAGATAATCCTTCAGCATTTGAGCCAGGATATTAGCTTGGTCTTTAACCTGACTCCACACATCATATTTGCATCATTAATATTATTTTCTAAAATGGTATCCAGTTCCAACTATAAAAGAAAGTCAAAAGTAAAATATTAGACTATGAACATTTCAAGGAAAAAACTTCTTAGAACCAGAAAACTTTTATTAAAAAGTTTCCATTTTATTATCTGAAACATTCCTCCTAAAAGATCACCTATTAAGGGTTTTGAGTGACCCTAGGAAATTGCTTTAAAGGAACTGCTGTCCTGCATGGTAGCTCACGCCTGTAATCCCAGCACTTTGGGAGGCCGAGGCAGGAGAATCGCTTGAGGCCAGGAGTTCCAGACTAGCCTGAGCAACATAGCAAGAGACCCCCATCTCTACAAAAAATACAAAAAAAATTAGCCAGGCGTGGTGGCATGTGCCTGTAGTGCCAGCTACTCGAGAGGCTGAGGTGGGAGGATAGACCAAGCCCAGGAGTTTGAGGCTGCAGTGAGTCATGATCGCGTGCCACCGCACTCCAGCCTGTACGGCAGCGCTAGACCTGGTCTCTAAAAAACAAACGAAAAAGGAACTATTGACCATAAGCTTGGTCAGTGCAACTTTCCTTCCCCAGACAAATAGGCTGCAAACCATGATTATCATAAATGACAGTGGCAGGATGAAAATTTCTGCTAGAAGGGTCTTGGGGTGGCTGTCTGGTTGGGGATGAGGTGGGCCAAGAGACTTCTCTTAAAGCGGCATTTATATAGCGTATCATTCTTCCTTAGAAGCCATGTTTACCTGGGGTGCCTTGGCATCCAGCTGTTAGGAGATGGGGAGGAGGGAGAATCCTCAACACCATCGCTGCTTCCTGGCACTGTTTGCCTAGCACCCTGTGCCCCGTCAGAGCTATTTCCTCCTTCACCCAGCAGGGGGCTCTGGCCCAAATGAGCTCCATTAGGGGCCCTGGCAGAGCCCCCCAGAGTCAGGAGCCCTGCAGGCTGCCCCCCCACCAGTCTCCCCTCTACTCTGTCTAGCCCCTCTCCCTCAACTCCAGGCGTGACTTCCAGCACTTCGCAAACTTCTCTCAATTATCCTGATCATTGAGGAAAGTAGGAAACGATTGGGGGCACGGAGCAAAAATCTATGCAACTCACCGTAACAAAATATTTTGAAGCCTCTTATTTTATCTTAAAATTTCATGTAAATCTGTCACCCTGCTTCATAATATAAGATGTTTTAGATAACATGACAGTTAAAAGAATTAAGTTTTCCCTTTAAAAAGTAAAAGTAAAATCGATACTCTAGGAAGATGCCGTGACCAGCCCGCGCTCCACATGCACCCGGCGTGGCACCCACACACCCGCGAAAGCCGGGGCCAAAGGAAGCAGCACAGACGCCCGCCCTGCCCAGACGTAGGCGTGATGGGTGTCCCTCCCCATCCCTAAACCCGCAGATCCCGACTCTGTGAACTAAGTGTCAGGGAAGGGAGTGAGGAGGGAAGAAGAGGGGTGGGGTAAAATTACATCTTTCAAAAACATTCTGTCATTTTAATTTTTAAGTAAGATAGGTAAGCCTCATCCCAATGTGTCCAAATTAACGAGTTGCAGCTAGGAGTCTCTTCTCACCACCCACATTTTGCTACTTGGCCTCGTAGTTGACTTAAGCTGTGTAGTTTAATATTCACAGGAAGAAAAATCTAAAGTGCTGAGTTTATTACATCATCTTTTCTCTTCCAATTATATTCTCTCTTGGTCGTTTGAAGATTAGAGTCGACTGATGCTAACCAAATGCATGTATTCAACAGAAAAAGTCAATTAGGAATTAGGAGTAAAGGCAACAGGAGAATATTTTGAAATATCAATTTGCTTTCCTCCCGTATAAGCCTCCCTTTTCCCTTCTTCCTTTCAGATAGGCACTTTACTTTCTTCCCTCAGAGGTCCGTAATAAGCTCCCAGAAGTCCAATACAAGGACTGACAAACTCAGATGAGGACAGGCAGACCATGTAGACAATTGAAGGGGGCTGGATGGAGACAAGGGGGTGGGACAGACCGTGGCAAAGTGGAGAGCGGAGCATCTGCTCCCTCTACAGAAGCCAGCTGATACTCAGCTCTATCTAATTGTCACCACAGACAGGAATGAGGGCTGAGTGTTGGTAGACCTCGTTTTGTCATGAAAACTTCAAAATCTTTTTTAAAATGTGAAACTTCTGTGTGTTTCAAACTTGGCAACTAATTTAAAAATTTTAAAAGAAAACAGGTGTGGAGGCCAAACCCAGTCTACTGCCTAGATCAAGTCCATGGTTGTACCACCTGTGACTTTTGTTTCAAACCCATTGGGGAATACAGAGTGAAGTGTTTCCTTCAGTCTAAAAATGATTCCAGAGGTCCTGAGGAAGGAGAAAGGCCTAGAAGCCCAAGAACAGTAGGGACCTGTGCCCTGCTTCCTAGCAGTGCTTGCGATCTCCGACCTAGTAGCCCTCAGTAGGCCCTGAGCTCCCAGCCTTGCCATGGACTCCTGTGCCCCAAGAGTGGTTTGGGAGCAGCAGAGTGGCAGCCCTGAGGAGACTGTGAGCTGGGGAGATGGCTATCTCGGTGCTAGCCGACTCGGACAGGTGACCTCGTAGCAGAGGAGGCTCCGTAAATCATGATGCCGCATATGACCGCACAACAGGGGATGGAAAGGAGACATAAGAATGTCTGAGACTCAAATTGCTGCTAAACAAAAAACATAATTACTTATTTAATGTCTACCTCTCGTCCCCAGGACAGAAACCTTGTCTGGCTTATTCACGAACTAGCACCTGGCACAGTGCCCAGCACACAGTGGGGCTGCATTTTATTAAAATTATGCAAATGAGAAATAGTGAGATAGAAAATATTAATAAAATTTCACTTTTTGCACCAAATGTGAAATCATGTAAATCCTCCCCTCAAATTACCGTTAAGAATTGCAAAATATCTAAGCCGGTGGATCACATGAATTGTAAACAACTGGAATGGTGCAGACTAGAAGCACAAAACAAGGGTGACTGTGTTTTCGACCTGGGGCAGCTGGGAGAATGTTGCTATCAGGCTGAGCATGGAATAAAAGATCTTGAGTGTGTTTTCCGTAGAGCAAGGCCTTATCGAGTCTTCTTTGTAAAATGCTTAGCACCATGATGCATGCAACCGGGGGCTAATAAACATTTATCAGAGTGTACCTAAGAAAGTCGTTTGACTCATAGCTGTGACCGTGATTTGGGGCCTGGGTCAGGTTCCATATTCCTTTTGGTTGCAGGGAGCAAACCAGGTCCCCACACCTGGGCCCACTTGAGAGTCTATCCCCTCCCACTTCCTGCACTGCCCCCAACAGCGCTATGTGGCTGCAGCCTACCAGGGCAGGAACAGACTGCAACATAGAAGCTGCTCTCTCCCCTGTCACATGTATGGAGGGAGGGACATGGGAGAGGAAGGAGCCACCTGGATTTCAGTGTCTGGAAGTCTCTGATAGGTCTCCCAGCAGCAATATGGCAGCCAGGGTGGGCCCAAGGATGAGGACTAATGGTAAGCCCACACAATGCCCTTGCAAATCACTTTCTTAGAATTAAATGAATTTTTCATGTATTGAAGTTCCTTCTTGATGGTTTTCCTACTATTAAACAGCAATCCCTTACCCATGACGTTGGTGGCATTATTATTTTTGGAAGGCTCAGATGCTAGGATTATCAGCAGCTTGCTTAAATCAGAAGTTCCCTGAACCTAAAGGAAAAAAGTCAAAACTAGTCAAAAGAGCATTCTTTGATCTCTAACATAGCTGCTTCTCAACCTTTCCAAAGAATGTAAGAAATAAGCCAAAGCGTAGAACTGCGTCTTCAACCTAGGCTCTATCTTTTTTATGTCAAATCCTCTTTGATGTTGTTTCAGAAAGTCTTAGATCAGCATACTTGTTTTGTTGTTGCATACTTGCAGACACCAGAGAGGAAATTTCTACACCTTACTTGTAACTGGACAGGAAATCCCAGTTTGGAAAGCAAGGAATCCCCAGCACACAACCAGTTGCTTTTATTCCCACCTTGATGCTCAAGGGCTCAAGGCCCAGCCTTCCCGGGAGAGCAGGACTGTCTTCCTTTCTCAGAGCTTTTGTCCCACGTGCCCAAAATCTGGCTTTCAAAAGGCCCAGGAGCAGACAAGTAGTAATTGTAACTCTCATTTCTAGATGCCGCATATTATCTCATTTAATCCTCATAACGACCCCACGAGATGGCTGCTGTCATTACCCCGTCTTACTGAGGAGAACGTGGGGGTCTGGAGGGTAAGCAGCTTGCCTGTGCTCATGCTCCACGCAGGAATGGGGATCGGGCTTTCAAGCGAAGCGCGCCCGACTCCGAACCCTGGTCTCGTAACAAACGGATCTGCAGGTGTTGCTCTGTTGCCCCCTTGCCTCTTACCTCCACCCCTCATTTCACACCTGAAGAGATCTTCATCTTCCATTAAAAATATTTAAATTACTCTCATCCTCTGAATTGTTGAAAGGGACAAAATAAGAATGTTATGAAAGAGGCAAGTTCACTTTTCAGGTTTACCAGCTTTTCCAGGACGTAAAGCTTCGTTTAATGAATGCCCTTCCACAGTCTGAACCGGCAGAAAGGGGAGGAACTTACTATCAGATTAGAGAGATGTCAGCTTTTCTCCTGGCCCCTTGATCCTCCCGATTCCTGGGTCCCACCCTCCTGTCACCCCTGTGGGCCAATAGCTGGTGGGCTGGCCCATTAGGGACCTTGCTCTTACCCTCCCCGTGCCCTGTTATGTCCTCGGTTCACACTTCCCCCTCCTTACAGAAGCGTGCAATGACAAGGACAGGGCCCAGGGCCCACTATCAAGTTGTGCCCACAGCCCCTAACATGGCCACAAGGTGATGTAGCCCCCACTCAACTCCCTTCCTATCAGCCAGTGCAGATACGTCCAGAGCCACCTAGAATACAGCGTCGCTGCCTTGGAGTGAACTAGGAAAAATGCATCGCATCCCGACCTTCCTCTGGGCAGGCACAGCTCCACGCCAGGGCCGATGGCTTGGCAACAGCAAGCAGGCGGATTCCAGCCCCTTGCCCCTCGGGCACAGCCTCGTGTAGGGCACCTGCACCACAGAATCCCCGGGTACATTTTTACTGTTTTACTAAAGGCAGCTAAGAACTGCAGGGTCTTTACAGGTTTCATTTCTTTTTAAGGTGGTCAGTTGAGTTTTAAAGTCACTTATGGGGTACCCTGAAAAGGAAAGAACTCTTTAGACATTATACTCCTTACCTGCTCACAGGTTTTAGGTATAATGCAAGGTGCAAGATACGGTTCCTCCGTCTTAGTATCAATTACACTGCCATACACAATAATGACAAATTTCATAGTCATATTATTAATAGTCATTTCATTATAGCTTGATAAAGTCTCCACATATGCGTGGTTGGATAACACACACTTCTGGAACTTTAAGTCCTATAATAAAATTACATTTTTTTCTATAAATCATACGGACTGACACATGATATCAAGAAGAAAGCAGATTCACGGATCTATCTGAAATATTTGAAGATATCAGGAGGCACATGGACCTGGTACCGACAGACAGAATTTATTTAATAGAGTTTAGAATGGCCTCTGTCAAGCTTCTGAACTCAAAGCTTTTATGTTGTTATTGTGTCCTGACCCTGATTTGTGAGCTGTCAGTCAGCCACAGCAGGGGGGTTAGCGATGCCTCAGTGGGTTTCTATTTGCACAAGAACCAGAGGCTTAAAGCTTAGGAGGTTTCACCCAGCAGTAAGCAAACATCCCACTTGACAAGTGCACAAACAGTAACAAAAAACCAACGCAAAACAAAGCAAGGCACCAAGTCTGAGCTACGCTTCAAGGCTCAGCATCATGGACTTTAGCACTGGAAGGGAGTCGTTATGGGTTGAATGGTGTTCCCCCACCCACCCCAAATTCTTATGTCGTAGTCCTAACGCACACCGCCTCAGACTGTGACCTCATATGGAAGCAGGGTCATTGCAGATGCAATGAGTTACGATGAAGTTCTACCAGAGTAGGGCGGGCCCCTATTTCAAAGGACTAGTGTCCTTGTAAAAAGGGGAAATGTGGGCACAGACTTGCATGCAGGGTGAACACCACGTGAAGGTGAAGGCAGCCATTTCACAAGCCAAGGAGGGAGGCCAGGACCCAATTCTCCCTCACAGCCCCTTGGTAGAAACTAACACTGCCGACACTGTGCTTTCAGAACTGGCCTCCAGAACCGTGAGACAATGAATTTCTGTTGTTTAAGCCACTCAGCATGTGCTGCTTTGCTGCAGCAGCGCTAGCGCAGTAACAGAGGAGCTTAGAGGTCAGTCCAAGGGCAGGAATTTCCTGGCCGGGGCCCCGATAGGGGCCCTCAGTTCAGTCTGAACAGTTCCAGCCCCCAAAGTGCGTGACTACACAAGCCAGTTCTTGAATCTCAGTCACTGACAGGCAAATCAAACACCCACTTGCTGAGGGTGTACCAAACATAAGCAAATTAGCAGCCGAAAAATCTAAAAATAAGCTCTTTTAGTTTGGTTTTTAAGTGCATGTACATTTTGAGTTCTGTGATTCTAGAATGGGAAGAGACAACATAATCTTATCAGTGCCTAGGTGTTGTTCTAGAAAGTCTTAATTGGCTAGTTCTTTAATGGAAAAAGACTAGAATGAAATAAACCAAAGTATTAAATAGAGATTCTCTGGAGAGTAAAATTGGGGGTAGAAGGTTATTATTATTTTTTTAATGTTTTATATCTGTATTTTCTCATTTACATAATGAATGTATTGCTTGTGAATTAAAAAAATCGCAAAGGACATTCACCTTATTATTGAGTCAAATCTGACTCCATATAGTTTCAACTCGTTGGTCCTAATTCTCTCCTCTGGGTTTCATATGACCCTGAATTTGTCCTACTTCTCACGAAGAGGCAAGGTAAAAGGAAGAGTTTCAATCTTCTTTCCCCTCCAATAAAATTTTTCTGAAAGTCATTATTGCCACATAGTAAAAAAAAACAACCTGACTGGCTTGTATGACATACTAATTTCTGAATTTCAACGTTTATATCCAGCCTCTTATTTCAGTGAATATTGTTGAACTTGAGGTCTGTCACTTTCCCACTTCCTGACTCATAGTAGGGTCTGAATAATTATTAATATTAAATAGGATACAAATGTGGGATTGTAAACTGTGCCAGTCCAGGGACAGACTTGAACCACTATTCTTTGGAGGGAAGGTTCATGGAAGAGACTCAGTCACCTCAACAAAGATTTTGAAAAGGCCGGAAATTGATATTAACAAAGGTAGAGTGGACGACAATACATACCAGATTGAGTGTTCAGTGACACATTCTGACTGACGCTATGCTTAGCTCTGGGAGAATCTATCTATTTAATATTTGCTGAATCTACTTTTTATTGTTTTAGGGGAGGATTGCAAATAGCCTGGGAAAATTAGCTGTGACAAGAAGACCGAAATCTGTAGGAAGTGGGGAAAAGACAGTGGTCAAATTCTAGCAATCTCATTTTAGAAAATGAGACACAATCTTCCTTTCTATCCTTGTCTCAAAAATATGAAATGCATTTTGTAAAAAAAAAAAATACAGTACATAAAAATTCAATTCATTCATATTTTAATCATATAACTTACCTCATCAATGAGACTCGATTCAAAATACTGATAGGCAGTCTTGAGAGCAAGCTTTAGCCATATTTTATATTCCAGGGATGGCCAGAAGACGTCAAAGCCTTCATATAAATCCTCCAGGGAGATAAAGCAGGCCTGAAACAAGACACCAGGCCACGGCAGCTCAATTTGGAACTAAATTATAAGACCATCGAAACACAACACGCCTGCAGATCTAATCTTCATCTTAACCTCTCAGAAAAACTGTCAATTCTAGCGTAATTGTGATACTCTGCCATTTTAGAGCATCCCTGTTGTGAAAAAGGTTGTTTGCTATGTATAAGATGATAAAGTTATGGTCCAATTAAAGGTATGAACTTAATAATAGACCAGTTTCAGTTAACAACAGGGACACAAAAAAAAGAAAATAGACCAGGAAAATTTATATCCGTCAATAGGTACAATGATGGATATGGCTCCTGAGCCTAAGTTTCAGGAACTGAGACATAGAGACTTGTCTGTTCTTTTCCAGTAGGTATAGTGGGCATAGTATTTGATTCCAGAGGCAAACTGTTGACTTGAATGAAAAAGAAGACTACTTGTTCAGAATTCAAGTTAAATGAACTTTAATTAATTCAATTCAGCCTTGTGACTAGATTCCTGCCTTCTATACTCTTCTGGAAATGAAACTGTATGAAACCGCTAAGATAACATTCCCTTCTACTCCACACCCCCTTAAGACTCTGGATCCTGCTCTGTTGCATTGAATAGTCCCAACAGACTGAGAATTCTTTGCAGCAGGAACTTGGGCTCATATCTATTTGAGCTCCCCACACCTAGTGGAATGTCAGGCCACTTCTGTGCTGAATAGATAACTTCTTACTTAGCAAGTGAAAAAATAGAAGATAGGAACTTTAAAAACAAAGAAATACTCTTTAAAAACACTCCTCCCATGATGGTGGCCATTTTTTGAGCACCTATATGTGTCAGGCATGTTACAAAGGTATTTTCCTAATATTCATAATGTCAAAAGGTAGGTATTCTCTCTACTTAATAAATAAGGATATTAAGATGTAAGGAGGTTAAATAACTCATTCCAGGTCCCACGGGCAGGATGTAGTAGAGCTTGGCATGTGAGACTCTAAATCTGCCTTCTCTCAGCTAGACTATGCTGCCTCCCAATAGCTGGTTGTGTGACTAAATTAGATATCAGAACCCAGAGGAAGAAAAGATGCTGGCATTTTTTATTTACTTGAGGAATAAATAATTACCCATGACAGAACCATTTTCTTACCTGTAAAATTGTTTCACAAATGACGGTATATTCAATTTCACGCTTAAGCAGGCAGCTCAACTCTCCGATTATGTCCCCACTAGTACAGTACTCTGTAAACATGGTTTTGGACTCTCTAGCAGGCATTAGGCTACTCTCTATTCCAAAGGTAGGAGGTGAACTATGCAACTGCAAAAGGGGAAAAATGTGCAAAGGGAAATAAAAAATGTAAAATCCTTTGATCCAACTGTAGGAGCTCCCACTATTTCTTACAGTTATTCTAATGGAAGGCAAAGATTTTTCATGAATCTTATCATGTGTCAGGAAGAATTAGGCTGTCACAAAAATCACAGTTTCTTTCACACTTCAACTCCTCAGGACAAGGATTTGTTTCCAATCTTTAGTTATAAATCTCCAATTTAGTTGTCAATGACCCCTACTTACAACTTTCTACTTATACCTGTCTCACGTAAAAATCCCACCAAAACTAGAAATTCTAGTCTGCAACCAATGCAGACCCACTCTGAGTCCACCTGGGCTGATGCCTCAGACAGAAAATAACTTTTGACTGCATGAGCACATAAATCAGATATTGTAAATTAATATGCTTCCAAACCATGCCATGATTTCAGTAAAAACCTAGTCTCTCTTTTAAAGGCTTAAGAATAATTACCATGAAATATCAGCAGGAAAAGATTTTAGGATAAACATAGGATGCTCAAGGTACTTCAGGAAGAGACCTGATAGGCACGAATGGAGAAAGAGGAGAGATGTCAGATTTCAGGGGGAAGCTGCAAGAATGAAGAGGAGAAGAATTATGGAATTTTCTAGAAAGTTTAGCTGTAAACATCAAAGAGGAAGGCTATTGTTAAGGACACAGTAAACAGGGAACAAAAGGTCACCCTCTCCTAGTGATTACCATTCAGACTTTTAGAAGCATTCATGCTTCCAAAGGACTTTGAATTTTTTTAAATGGCCCTAATTTTGAATGCAGTTCAAATGACCTTTAAGCAATGAAGAATGTCTCTGTTGATTACAAACCAAGAAAAGAAGATGACATCTGTGGTAGGCAGCATTCTAGAGAAGCCCCCCCAACATTCCTGTCTGCTATTCAATAAAATACTAATCTAAGTACTGCTATGAAGGGACTTTGCAGATGGAATTAACGTTACTAATCAGCTGGCCTTAAAGAGATGATCTTGGATTATTCTGATGGACCCACAGTAATTATATGAGCCCCTGAAAGTAAAAGAGGAAGGCAGAAGAGCCTGTCAGAGAGAAGGGGCAGCTTGAGAGGGATTCCACATGCCTTTTCTTGTTCTGAGATATGGGGGCTGCACGCAAGGACCAAAGAGGAGCTCTAGGAGATCAAGGGGGTCCCCAGCTGACAGCCTGCAAAGAAGCAAGGACTTCCGTCCTATAGCCATAAGGAACTACTAGATTTTGCCAACAACCTCCATGAGACTGGAAACAGATTCTAATCTCAGAACTTCCAGAGGGAATGCAGCCCTACTGACACCTTAATTTCAACATTGTGAGCACCCAAGCAGATAAGCTAGCAGAGCCCACCAGATGTCTGACCTGTAGAACCATAAGATAATGAATCTAAGCTACTAAATTTGTGGTAATTTGTTATAGCATCAATAAAGTGCTAACATAACCTCTTCAGACCAAATATCATTGAATTTATGTTTTAAGCAGGCTTAGCTAGTCCAGCCATTGCAGGAAAATTCCCCAAAGGAACATGTACAGTATGTTGCATCTTTTAAGTATTTGATTTGACATATTTCATAAATACTGGTAGCAGCATATTTTTGTTAGGATTCTAATGGGAGTATTGCACAGTGGCTAAGGGTATGGATACTGGAGGCAGACAGAGTACATGGGTTCAAAAATGTTCCATGAGCTGATGAGAAAAACTAATATTCAGTGGTTTTGGGGTAGAATGTTCTGTAAACGTCTGTTAGGCCCATGTGTTCTAGAATCCCATTTAAGTCCATTGTTTCTTTGTTTATTTTCTGCGTAGAGGATCTGTCCCATTCTGTCAGTGGGGTGCCAAAACCCTCAACTATTACAAGGCTGCTGTTTATCATTTTGTTTAGATCAAGTATGATTTGCTTTATGAATCTGGGCATGCCTGTGTTAGGTGCATAAATAATTAAGATTGTTAAGTCTTCTTGTTGAATTGTTCCCTTCATCATATTTGTCTTTCTTTACTTTTGTTGATTTGAAGGCTATGTTATCTGATATGAGAATGGCCACACCAGCTTTCTGTTGGTTTCTACTTGCATGTGATATTGTTTTCCATTCCTTCACCCTGAATCTGAATAAGTCCTTGTGGGTTAGATGTGTTTCCTGGAGACAGCAGATATTTGGCTTGTATTTTTTTGTCCATTCAGCCAGGCTATTTCTCTTCAGTAGGGAGTTGAAGCCATTCACATTTATTGAAAGAATTGATAATTGGGGTGGATTTCTGTTTATCCTGTTGAGTAGAACTTTATTGCTCTGTTTTACCTCTTGAGCCATTGTGATATCTGGGCTCTGAACTTTAGCTTTTGGGTGATTTGACACTGGTGGGTGTCTACTGTATTGATCCATGTATAATGCAGTTCTGAGAACTTCCTGCAGGACAGGTCTAGTCTTGACAAATTCCCTCAGTGTTTCTATCTGAGAAAGTCTTTATTTCTCCCTCATATAAGAAACTTAGTTTTGCAGGATACAAAATTCTAGGCTGGTCATTATTCTGTTTGAGAAGACTGAGAATGGGGCCCCAGTCCCTTCTGGCTTGTAAGGTCTCAGTTGAGAAGTCTGAAGTTAGGTTAATGGGTTTTCCTTTGTAAGTTACCTGATGCTTTCACCTTACAGCTGGAAGCAATGCCTCCTTTGTGTTTACATTGGCCAGTCTGATGACTATATGTTGGTGGTGATTGCCTCTTCACAATGAATCTCCCAGGAGTCCTTTAAGCTTCTTGTACCTGGATATCTAGATTTCTAACAAGGCCAGGGAAATTTTCCTCAATTATTCCCCCAAATAGGTTTTCCAACCCTTATGTATTTTCTTCTTCACATTTAGGGATGTCTATGATTCTTATGTTAGGCCTCTTTACATAACCTGATATTTCTTGTAGGATTTGTTTGTTCCTCTTATTCTCTGTTCTTTCTTTTTGACTGACTTGTTTAACTCAAAGGTGTTTTCTTCAAACTCTGAGATTCTTTCTGCTGCCTGATCTAGCCTATTCTTAAGACTTTCCACTATGTTTTCTATTTCCTTGTGTGAATTTTTCATTTTTAGAAGTTCTGCTTGATTTTTTTAATAATTCAGTTTCTTTAGTGAATTTTTCATTCATTTCCTGCATTTTTTTTGTGGTTTCTTTGTGTTGGGTTTTTATTTTCTCTTGTGTTTCATTCAGCTTCCTTACAATCCATATTCAAAATTCTTCATCTGTCATTTCAATCTTTTCCTTTTGGTTGATAACCATTCATAAGGAGTTATGGATTTCTTCTGCTCTGATTTATCATGTTTTCAGAGTTCTTTCACTGATTCCTTCTCATCTGGCCTCTTGGTTAATACCTGGGGGTGCTAGGCCTGACTTACAGGCCTGTCTCTGGGTCCCCAAAGATTGATCCCCAAGCATGCCAGGGAGAGGAGTGCTGGTACTGAGTTGCCTATAGGGTATTCTAGCAGGTTTGATGAACCTCTCAGTTTACCTCTGACCTGTTGTCTTCACCTCTTCCCAACAGTGTGTAGTGAGTTAGGTCCCCCAGCTTAATCTCCAAGATGGCGGGTGGTATTTGTGAGTACAAACCAGCCACTCCCTATTTGCTTGAGTTGGAAGGTGCTATACTTAGCTATGAAGTTGTTCCCCCATCATTGATTGAAGTTTGTGTGGAAAAGCCAGATGCTGAGATGGTCTTTTGTGCCCATGGTAAGCTCTGGTCTCCCAGGTGGGGCATATGACTACCCCAAGCTTTAGGAGGGACCCTGTAGCTCCCTGGGGTTGCTTGATTCCTACTCCCACTGAGGTGAGGGGAAGAGCAAGACAAATTGTGGCTGGATTGCAAGAGCCTGAGCGGCTTTGCAAAGCCTCAGGCAAAGCTCATAGGTTGCTTATCTGGCCACTAGAGGAAGCCACTTGTGTGAAGTTCAGGGTAATGTCTCCAAGCTGGGAAGACTGTTCCCAAGGGAGGGGTCTAATCCCTTGAGTGCTAAGGCCTGGGCCAGGCTGTTTCGACCTTTGTCCACTAGCATAGTTTCTCTACGGGGTGGAGTGAGTGCCCTCCCTATTTTCTCCCTGGAACTCCACAGCACTCTCCCATCAGATCAGTCTGTGTGAGTTCCCTCACCACCTGAGACCTGCTCTCAAACTATCCCTCAGTCCATGTGTCTGACCGACTAGCATGGGTGTCCGTGGCAGGTAGGGTGATCCCCAGTTATGCATGCCTGTTCCACCACAAGACCCCAAGTGGAGAGAGGTAGGCCTCTCTGTTCACAGGGGCCTCTGCCAGGGACATGCTTCCACCTGGGAGAAGTGGCTTCTCATGAGTTTCTTGGCTTAAGTTGCACTCCTTATTGTAATGAGTGGGGGGAGGGGTCCCTGAGGCATTCGGTTGTCATGGAAACCAGGGGCTAGGCTAATTCACTCCAAGTGCCATGCCCCTATCCAACATGGAGGTTCTCCAGTTGGGGTAGGGGATGGGCGTGCTCATAGATACCCGTTCCCCAGGGCCCCTCCATACTCTTCTGTTGGAAATGTCCATGAGGGCTTCGTTGCCACCCAGGTCTAGGACTAAGACCTCTCCTCTACATCTCCCTGTATCACCCTCTTGTCCTGGGGGGCACCAGGTCCAGCCCACCTGTCTAAGCTGCCAGTGCGCAATCCCGCAAAACGCCAGCAGGAAGGAAGCTTGCAAATTGTGGTAACCCCACTCTCTGGTGGGCTCGGCCAGGAATGCACACCCACCGTAGAGAAGCAGCTGTTCGTGTGCTTCTCAGTTCAGAGGATTCTCACGGTTGTCATGGCAGGGGGAGGGGCTGTGGCTGCTAGCAGCCTGAGCTAAAATTACTTTCTCTGATGCTGTGATTGGAGGAGGTGCAGAGGAGGAAGTGTCTAGGTGTAAGAAAGCTGGCACTCCAGTCTCTCTCTCATGACACTTTCCCGTGGGGTGTCCCGTTGGAATACTGTCACTCCTGGGGTTCGCTGGTTCACCCTGTTCTTCCTATTTAGCCACCATACCTGGGTTTGTGGAGGCTGAAAGCGCCTCCAATGTGTTTTGTGTCCTGCTGTTCTCTGAAGGTAGCTAGGTGGGGCAGGGGGACCCCCTTACCCTTTCACTGGGCTCCCAGCCTCTCTGGGTTTGGTCCATGCTACTGTCTTCTCCTCTCTGTCTTCTTCTTTCTAGGCTTTGCAGTTTTTCTGTTGAGTCCCCAGATGTCTCTGTTGCCTCTGTCTGTGATCCACACCAGAGCTGCAGCTGCTCTCTGCTCTCCTCAGTCCAATATTCTACCTTCCCGCTGGGACCATCTGACAAGCGATGTTTCCACTCGGCCATTTTGGTTGCTCTCTCTGGGTCTTGTGTTTTTATCCCTTCAGCCATTCCATGTCTTTTGATCAGAGACTTTAGTCCATTTACATTTAATGTTATTATTGATAGATAAGGACTTACTACTGCCATGTTGTTATTTGATTAAAAGTTACATTTTTGATCCTCATCCTACTTACCTATGAAAGATCTGACTTTTCAGCCCACTTCCTCATTCTTGGACTCTCATTGCCTTTAGGTGAGTTAAACCACTCCAAGTATTGGTTTTCTTGTGTGAATGTCCTGAGAAATATTGCTTCCTCCCATGATTGTTGGAGGAATAGGAATAAGTAATGGCTAGGCCAGTATTTTGTAAAATGGGAAGCACATTTCAGGTATTGAGTATTACTATTACTATAGCTCAGCTGTAGTGCTCACTTCGAGCAGAAATGTTTTCATATGGAAAAGAGATTGTTAAAAATTTAAACTTTTTTGGTTCCTAAAGCTCTCCTTATTTTACAATTACACATTTCAAAATATATTTTAAGTAAAAAAATTAATAGCGCCTTACAATTGCCATTCCTGAAATAATTAAGTAGATTCCTTGTGGCATTTCACCTTCTTTACAAATGACATCTCCATAGTCAAAATAAGCAAGTTTGGCTCTTTCCTGAACGGAAAAAAGGAAAAGAAAAGGAGAGTCAATGCAAAAGGTTCATAGTCTACTTTTTTAAATATAAATAAGGTTTTAAACCTAAAAATGGTTTCCAAGTAGCATAAAAATACAAATTATATTCTTGGTTTACTAATAAATTGTAACATTCTCACATACCACATCAACTTTTAGTAAAAAAGGGACAAGCAAACAAACAGTGCACTCTGTGATTAGTACCTAGCACAGTAACTGATATAAACACCCAATGAAGATATATAGAATGAATGAGCGAATTAACGAATGTAAACCTTTTTTTCTGGCCCCTATTTAGGACTTGGGTTATAAACAGATCGCCTGCCTTCGGAAGAGCTTTTAGTTATGTTGGATAGATATTTACAATGAAGTGTGATAATTATGACC